CGATCTACATTTACAATCAACATTGTAAGGGTGCCTAAAATAATTTTTAACTCCAAGCATTGAATATTGTAATGTTTGCACTTAATGGTCAATTACCATTTTAAAATATAACCAAAGTGTACTAATTGTAGATAAGTTTCCGACTTTTCAGGGAGAAATGTCTGAGTAGCGGATCTGATTAACTTTTAGTGACATAATGAGTAGTTGAGTAACAGATTTTCTCTGACTTTTCTCTTTCTTCCCATGAGAATAATCTGACAGCATCGTGGATTTATTTACTTCTCACAAATTCATTACAAGCTTTCAGCTTATCAAAGTTGCTTTGCTCTGCTTGTTTACTTTTTTAACAAGGTGTACTTCTGTCAGTTCTAAACATGTGAATGTCCTTTAAAATCTTCTCTTTTTATCCTTCTACGGTCCCTATTTTGTCTAACAAAGTAGCATACTATTTCGCATCATATTAACTATTACTAAACCTGCTATCAAGATCGACCACAGCTAGAAGAATCTCGACACTGGAACCTGGAAAATGATGCCATTGCAAAGTGAAAAAGTAGAGATTCGATAACACGACAATGGCAAGATCCGAAAACTCAACAATTTTAACGTGTACACCAAGAGACAAGCTTGACTGCAATAAAGGTATCCAGGTGATTTAGGCAACTATGGAACAAGGACCCTGTCGATGTTTGCACTGACACTTTTCCGGTTTGCATAAACCTATTGCTGCCGCTTTCATCACCCTAATAATGACACGGCCTCCAAATCAAAATTAGCGACTGTACTAGAACCTTTCTTTGTTAGACTTCTTATCGTTTTGGCTTTCTACCCAGTTATGATGTTTGGAATTTCTTTTTTTGCCAGCCGTCAATAACGTTAATGCACAAACGAACCATACAATTTCAAAATCAAACTAACATTTATGGGGGCTTTCACGATAAAGACAACCGTACAAGAGTACTTACCTGCACAAAAATAACCACATTCTCAAACTTTTTCTCCTTTGAAGGTGACCCAGTCTATTTAGGTGAACAATTTGTAAAATAATTTAGCCCAGTGGGTGGGTTCATTCAAAGGATATGTTTAACTGTTCGAACGTTAGTTGCTTTCACTTTGTTAAATTCTCTTAGGATCATGCGCGAATAGGATTTACTCAAATTGAAGTTATTTATCTTGTCAACTTGACTCCACAAATATTACAATTTTTAAAATAAGGGCATATAAAATAAAATAGTTTTGCAATGACAAGTTTGTGAAACTGTCTACCAGCTGATTGGCCCGGCCGGAGTTAGACGATGCGTCCGTTGATGGGTCAACCGCGTTTCACTTTTACTGTTTGTCTACGCATTTTGGGAAAATCCCTGTACTCTACTATGGACCATAATTGTAGTTGGCACTTTCAATTTGACAAATCATTAAAACATTAACAGTTTCAGTATCCTCCAGTCGCCTAGTGGTAAAAGAGCATTGCTTCTGCTTCTTGCCTCTACAATTCGCCAAAATTTGATTACAACCAATAAAAAAAGACACTAAGGATGAAATATTTGCAATTCTCTACTGCTCATCGTGGTCAGTGCGCCTAAGATCACTACATTTTGAAGCCCTTGTTTACTAGGCGAAAAACGACGTGAGAGACTTCGCATGCATGAATTTAATTGCAAAGCGAAAAGGGACTTTAAATTTGCAACTCGAATCCAAGTAATGGTAGATTATGACCTTAAATAAGGAAATAAATCTGGCTTCTGCATTATCTATCAATTATTGTAGTGTAAGGTTTACGCAAGAAGCTAAAAAGGAATGCCAATTAATCCAAGTTGTGCAGCTACACAACTATGTCGAGTACACTGAATATGGAAAAAGGCCTTTTTTGGTTTAAATTGCGCAACAAGGAAGACAGCGCGAAGGTCCAAATAAAAGAAACGATGCCAGCGCCATTATGGTTCAAGTTCGAGTTCAAATTCACAGTGGGAGGGATTCGATAGATGCGCGGTTACAGACAGCCAATTTAAACAAAGGCAATTTGCGGCCAAGCGCCGCGTTCACCAGTTAGGCGTGTTAATGGACGCAAAAGGCAACAGACAGGGGGCTGCCGTGATCACAATGTCGGTCCCTAATCATAACGCTTGATCTGGCAAATGAGGCCAACTAACATAGAGTTTATGACAAATGCGCTGTCCAGAGCTCTGATAACGCAAACAAGCTCATTAAATCCGACCTCTGTGATTCTGCTTTTGTACACTGTTTTACAAGCTCACTTTGTGTCTCCAGGGAGTGAAGATTACCAAGAGGGTGACAAACGAACACCACAACAACCCTTTTGACTCCGTCCTGCAATTAGCGCAAGTAATGGCCAAATTGAGCATAAGTTCTTGTCCGGCCCCCCCCCACTCAGAGACTGAAGCCTGCGTCAATGTCAGCGACCGTTTCATGAATTAAAAATGAGACGCGTAAAATTGTTGTTTTTCTTGTACTTAAATTGCCAGAATTCACCCAAATCAAATGGCATATTCAGCCTTTTAAATAAAAGCAAACCACGGACTGAAAATCATGCGTCGTGCGTAAAAGGGCAGAAAAATGACGAATCGCTTATGATTAAGCATTCTTAAAATAATGGCCAATTTTCCAGAGCCTTTTTTCCAATACCTAATTAATTATACGGCAAAAATACACTTCTTTCTAAACTATGGTAGAAATATTTTGAAAAGTCGGTTTTCTTAATTTAGAAATAAATTGTTATCGCCATTTAATGACCATGAGAAAACTATGTTAAGGGAAACGTGGGTGAAAGCACAATTAACAAATTAAAATTCAATTAGTAAAGAATGTTAATAAAAAAGATAAGTTAGAAATCTCCCACATTACCAGATCATTTAGTTTCCATCCAAATTGGGTGGTACTAATAATAACCAAATAAGTGTCAATTAGAGTCTTTTTTTGTCATGAAAACAATCTCTGGACACGTGATAAAGGGGCAAGCGCGTACATATTTTTACTATTTTCGATGGCTATTTTGTTTAGAAACAGTGGTAGCATGACTTCTAGCAAAAAAATATCCTATAGCCAAATACTTCAGTCATTTCAGGTGTAACTGATGACCATGACTGTCGTCTTTTTCTGCTTTAAAACTTTGCTTAAGAGTTATGGTAAACAAGCCAGGGAGGAAATTAATCAAGTGAGTTTAATTAAGCGGAAGCTGAAGGTAGGAAAAGTAGGTGAAAGATGAATAACGTGGTCTGGAGTTAAAAATTTTATGTGCATCCTTTCCCTAAAATGGTAGTCTGTTTGCTAGCTTAAAGCCCATCATTCGCCGTGCAGTGAATTACACACCTTTCTTGGCGATCTGATAAACTGAGCCCCACGAAAACTGCATCAGGCAACTACGGGGTCATGTGACTACGAATTGCGAAGATACCTTTTATTGCAGTTAGCTCACTCATCTATGGACCTGGGTTTTAGACTTTCAAATGATGCGTTTTCCGTGATTGCATCAACTTCAAAATGTGAGTTAGTCTTGCGTTGTTAATAAACTTAGTTGTTGCATAAGTGATTAATTTCAACTATGCCTACTATTTGGGTATGTTTTTCACTCCACGCAGTTTCGCATGGATTTAGAAATCACATAGTTCTCTAGTTCACCCCTTAATCTATGATTCAATGTTTATGTTCACCCAATTGGTTCTAGAAGAAATTATTTTACGAAAGAATTGTTACCGGTCTTCGTTTTATCGACAAAAACATGGCAAAATTGGCACTCGCTGATTCCGTGAAATGTTGGGCATTAGTTTCACGGACAACAAAGGCAGCATGATTGCTTCTTAAATTTTTGCTTCTACACAAATGCCTTTATTGAGCCCAAGGGGATTATTTAATAGAATCTCATTTTTAATTACATGAAATTCTAGTCCTTGGTGCCTAGGAAAATGAATAGCATGGGTGCGTCTGGCATCAGGGCAAACGTGGGCAGGAGGTTACAGAAATTTTGAGTTACTCTGAAATCGACAAATTTTAAAACAATTAGCCTTGAAAAAAATGGTAAAACCAATAAGAGAACATAGCCGACTGCCTGAAGTTAGAGACGTCTTTCTTAACAAGTTTCCGTCCAAATATTCCTCTCCTTGTTTCTGAAACCACGTTCATATTATAACCAATATCAAGTGGGCGTTACCAAAACGGAAACTATGAGGCCTGTTGCACTTCTGAGAAGACTGTTTCTGGAGTATATTTTTAAAGATGATTATTTTGAGGTCAGGCAAAGATGTAAGGTAAAGGGGAACCGTAAATTTTATGTCTCCCTTGTGAACGCATATCCTGACGTGGTGGTAAGTCACCTGCCTTATCATTCGTGGGTTCGAGTCCACTATCGGCCCAAGAACACGTTGATTTTATGCTAACGTCAATGATCTTATGGCATCGGTTTCACATATTTGCCGTCACTTATCTCTGAGAATTTACTAATCGAGAAGTTTGTGCACAAGTTTTGGTCTATGGTGCAAAGAGAGGCAAAACCAACTACTGATAACTCCAAAAACAGATCAAAGCACATTTAGTTTGACATTTGGCTTTTGAAATCTGGCCAGGAGAGAATCAACACTCCAGGTAAGGTAGATATTGTGAATGGGTGTATTCACGCAGCAGACAAAATCATCCGGCCGCAGGGTTTATGATCTAGTCGGTTGGTAGTGGCATCAGTGTGCAGGCGTCGAAGTGATTGTGCATTGAACATTTCCATTAATTACTCTCAACTTCAAATTCCCGCCTTGCGGCAATGCATGCTTGCAAAACTAAATTCGCTGCTGCTGATAAAATCACAACAGTCCCATTACTCATCACCGAAATGCCATTTTTGTGGCCGAAATTTCAAAATGCCTCAACAAAGATATCTGCAGGCTGAAAACTTTACCTACCTAGTCCTTGGTCTTGCCGAGAAACGCGCAATCAGTGATAAGCCAAAACGTTCAAAATCACTTAAGGCACAAGAGGAAAAATAAATAAAACGTTCGCTAAAAACGTACCTCTGTAAAAGTTTCAGAAGGTGTGTTAAATTCGGAAATTTGCATGTCATCAGCGAACTTGAGAGCATTATCTCCATCCCAAATGAATTTGAGCTGATCTATAGTATATCCGTAGCTGCCAATATCCATATCGCAGTCTTGCTGATCCATAGGGAAATTTCGCAGGTGCATTTCACATGCCAGTTTCATCGTGATCTTCTGACTGTAGTAGATGTCGCCGTTAGGACTCACTCGTATCATGTGATTTGGGACAGTCATTCGATAAAGAAATCCCTCTTTACCATTCCGGAAGAAGAGATCGGGTAACCAAATTTCGTTCCGTCTTTGCGTAAAAAGAATATTTTCAGAAATGGCAGAAAATTCAGGCAAGTGCTCCCAACGCAAGCGAGGATCATTCCAGCGCTGAACCAGGACCATATCGGCAGTGTACTGCATGTTGATAACGTCGACGCTGGTGATAGCCAAAATCTTGATCGAAACGCGGACCTCTGTCGGCTCGCCTTGGCCCTCAGTGGGTCTTTCGTAGCGACGATAATGTGCCATTAGCTTCTTTATCAGGCTTTCTTTCAGCGACGGAATCGGCAGTCCAGGAGGAGGCAAGTTAGAAGAGTACTGCCTCAGTAGTGAGTTGGCGCTCTTTTCAAATTTAAAAAAATCGGCATCATTCAGTACCATGTGTTTTACTTTAGAAGTTACCTGAGAACCCAGATCAGCACTTGAAAGCAAAACAGTGAATGCGAGCACGAGGAATGTCAGCAAAGCTTGACGAAAGTGGATGGGCATTGCTTTTTACCAGAAGAGCTCTTCGTTTGAATATGCATGGAGAACGAAAAGACGCGATACTTATTCTGTTCTGGGACAGTGGCGATTCTCTACTCATGCCCATTCATCTTACCTGCGCCTAAAAGCCACAGAAAACCACTCCACCCAATCACGAATGAGTTCATGTGTCCTTCAAACCTCTGGCCAATGGTTTAGCTGCAGGCGAGAATAACTGCTCGGCCTACTATTGGCTGGTTGCAAGGGTTTAAAATTCAAAAAAGAACACGAGGTCATACAAGCAATTAAATGGGGAAACTGATGTGGATATTTTAATGTACTGTCGATTGACACTTTGCCATTCCTTACGATGTGCTTACATAAACAAGAAATAGCCATATTTTGTGAAAAAAATTTCCAAGACGCCCGTGCTTAAGTAAAATAGGAACTTGTTGATCAGAAAAATCTTCTCAATGTTTTTGTATCTATGGCAACATGTTGGGTATTGTTGTAACTGCAACATTAACCAAATAATCTCATTGTTGTTGATACTGCAAATGAAACACATTTAGAACTGAAATCATTATCAACAAAATATTGTTAAAATAATGTCTGTGGATGTATTTTACGTATGGAAGAGAACCAATAAATAGATTTTTTCGACATTCAGATAATCACATGCC